ACCATAAAGTTACATGCACCCATCTGTCATTAGTTGACAGATTACACACTTAACTTTAATAAATTGGTTAATGCCTCATAATTTCATATTTTTGAGTGAAACTGGGTTCATATGAACCCTAACTCATAAAAGTAAGAAGAAGAATCATGTACTAAGAACAAGTAATAAAATATATATTAACACACAAAGTAGGAGTTACCTACTGATGGTTTCACAGTTTGCACACCTAAAGTGTTTTAGGTGTTTGGAGGTCAAAACTCCATATTTTCATGTTATTCTACTTGCATGCAGAAGATAACTCATATAGTTAATTCTCAAAAGAAGAATCATCCTTTTTCATTGAGTTTTGAAAGAGATATGGTCATTAGAACATGCATATACAAATCTGTCAGTTTTGGACAGATTGCATACTCCTTTTGTTTTGAGTAGTTGAAACCTCACATCACCATATTTTTGAATGAAATCAGTGGCATTTGAAAGATAACTCATTAAATTAACTTCCAGAAGAAAAATCAATGATTTTGGATGATTATTTAGAGAGTTATGGTTGTTTAAAGTAGAGTTTACCTACTGAAAAACTCCCAGATGCACACACATCTTGTTTTGAGTATTTGGGGAGTCAAAACTCAATGTTTTTGAGTGGGACCAATTGGATTACAACCGAAACTCAATAAATGAATTTTTAGAAGAAGATTCATGATATTAGAACATATTATTTGCAAGAAATGGACGATTTATGCACATGCATGAAATCTGTCAGCACTTAAAATGCCATTTTTTTAGGAATCAAACCTACATGCAACATGATTTTACCTATTTTCTTGAGTTCTAATGTTTGGGTCATAGATTACCACCATCATATGAACATTTTTACATGTTTTTGGTGTGTAATCTCTCTTTAAAACTCAGAATTTTCGGAGGTTAGAAGAAGGTAGTTTAAAATGCAAGAAAAGTGGGGTTTTCCCCCAAAGTTTGCAAGAAAATAGTGGAGATGAAGTTGTTACCTTGATTGATGATGAGAAGGATGCAATATCTTCAAAATCTTTGATATTTTGATGGAGAAATATGAAGAAATTGGCTGGAGTTGAAAGGTTGAAGAAGGTGATCTTTGAGAGTCTCTTGAGTTTAGAGAGAGAGAGAGAGAGAAAGAGTTTCAAGTTTTTGAAATGTGAAAAATGAAAAATAATGATATTTATATATGGATTTTAGGCGGCAAAGGGGGGGGCCAAGCCCAAAAATAATTTTTTTAATTAAATTTAAGTCCCAAAAATTGTTAAAATGTCATTTTTCTCAATTTTGACATTTTCCTTCAAATTATAAACCCGTGATGGTTAAATTCATTTAAAAAAAAAGTTTTATATTTAAAACACTAAAACTTTGTGTTTTATATAAATTGGGTATAAATTGGAGCATTTGGCACTATATAGGACGTTTCAGATAGTTACGGGTCAGAACCGGACTTTCTAAGCAACTACCGGAAACTATAGAAATTTTTCGGCCAATCTAATCTAACTAACTCCTAATCTTATAAATTATCTTTAATAACACTAATATAAACTTAATAAGAGCTAACCTGGTAGCTCAAATTTGACAGTTGTCACAGTCTCCCCCTGATAGAGAAATTTCGTCCCCAAATTTAACGACTGCTATTGCCAATGGATTTCTCTGCAAACAAATGCGGATATTTTCCTTTCATGAAATCTTCTCGTTCCCAAGTGTACTCTGGGCCATGTTTCGCATTCCAACGGACCTTAGTAATAGGGATTTTACTGCGCCTCAACCGTTTAACTTCTCGGTCCAATATCTCGATTGGTTCTTCGACAAAGTGTAACCGATCGTTAATCTGAACGTCATCCAGGGGTAACACTATTGTTTCATCCATTAGGCATTTCTTTAGATTCGACACATGGAACGTGTTGTGGATGGCGCTTAGATTTTGTGGTAACTTCAACTTGTACGCCACTGGTCCGATTCTTTCGAGTATCTCGAATGGACCAATGTATCTGGGACCCAGCTTGCCTCTCTTCCTGAAACGTACTAGTCCCTTCCATGGCGATACCTTTAAAAGTACTTTTTCCCCCACTTGGAATTCTAACGGCTTTCTCTGATTATCCGCATAACTCTTCTGACGGTCTCTTGCTGTCTTGAGTCTCTCCTTGATGATTGAAATCTTGTCGGTGGTTTCCTGAATAATATCGGGCGTTGTCAACTGTCTATCTCTGATCTCTACCCAGCTAAGCGGCGATCTACATTTACGTCCGTATAGAGCTTTGTACGGTGCACATTGTATGCTGGTGTGATAGCTGTTGTTATAAGAGAATTCAACAAGGGGCAGATGGGTATCCCAACTCCCACCAAAATCTATTGCGCACGCATGCAACATATCCTCTAGCGTTTGAATAGTTCTTTCCGATTGTCCCTCTGTTTGAGGATGATAGGCGATGCTACAATCCAAGCGCGTACACAATGCCTTTTGAAGAGACTGCCAAATCGTGATGTAAAACGTGTATCTCTATCCGAAATAATGGAAATAGGCACACCATGACGTGTAACTATTTCATTGATGTAGATTTG